AATTTTTTTTTTTTTTTTTTTTCAAAACATTTTCGTTTGGATTTTTTCTTAAGTAATTTTTGTGCAGAGATCTTAATTGGTAATTTAATTTGTCACAATTGTTAGGGAATTCAAATATTTTCATTTCTATTTTAAACGTGTTTTTAAAGTGTATTTGGTTACTAAATTTTTCAATTTGTGTTTGATCATTTTCCTATCTGTATGCTGGAATTAAAGTTCAGAAATAAAGAAACGATTTGTTTATGGAAATTACTGAGCTAGAACTGAGCTATGAACTAATTACCAACATTGGACATTAATGTCTGGTTTCACATTTAAATTGAAATTCTAAAAACAAGTATTTTGTTCATTTTTCTAACTATTTGTATGAGTTCTAACATTTCCTAATTTAATTTTTGCCACACCGTAATTGCATTAATATATCAAAATTTTAATTTCAATAATTATTGTATTTGCATTACGAAGAGAAAAAAATTTTAATGGCATTTTCATCTTCATTCTAAACACTACAGTAAAACAAAAATATAAATTCCACTAACTAAAAAATCATAGAAGCTGTAACACGTAAAACAATAAATTTGAAAATAATTTCTCGAAACATTTCTTATGACAATCAATTCACTAAAAATAAAAATTCAAAGAAAAAAATTTCAACAGTAAATACGATTAATGTATAAAAAATAATTTTTCAATTGAAACATCAAGAATGAAAATAATAATCAATAAAAATTCAAAAAATCGTTTTATGAGAATTGTAAAAAAAAAATTAACTCAAAGGATATGTGAAAAAGTTCGAATTAGTCCAAGATATTTTGAAAACCACAACATCAGAGATGAAAGTGCGTTGAAATTCCGTGAACACAATTCCAAAAGCAAAGACGAGAGCTGCTAGGGAAAAAATTTGTTTCTTCGTTAAGATGAATCGTAAATTAACACCAGTAGTGAAGGAGAAATTGAAGCTTATTTTTCTTTTTAGTTTTGAGTAGGAGGGAGGGAGGGAATGTCGAACATCTAAATAGACCATCGTAAACCATTCGGGGTGTGAGAACAATTATTCATCGACGATAGAATGCAGAGCAGCACTGGGAAATTTTTCGTTAGTCACTTGTAAAGGAAAGGGATGGGATTTCAATAAACACATTTTAATTATCAGGAGTTCGATGCAGTTTTTCTTTTTAGTTCAAGGAAAGAAATTGAAGCTCAGCTTTCTAGTAGTCTCAGAAACGTAGACAAAATATGCAGCATAGACATATGGATAACCGATGATCGTTTAGTTCCACTGGGCGTATGTATCATTTATAATAAACAAAAAGTTTGAAGAGTTCATTTTTTTGATGAAGATATTGGATGAATTAATTATTGCCATAAGTTGAAGAAGAATTTGACTGCTTATTTACCAAATGTCCATTTGAAAAAATGATTTGAAGTTATTCCATATTTTTGATGTACCCTCTTCCGAAGTTGATTTATTTCTTTTCAAATGAGATATTAAATATCTTTAAGGTACTGTACGTACCCGTACCCCGTTCCCGACCGTTTAATCCTGGCGACTTATAACGTCGTTGCCGAGTGGAAGGATTAAAACAGGTCTTAAGTCGGGAAGGAGGGTACAAAATTTATTTATTACATATTAGACAACAGCAGTCATGAGAGTGAGTAAAAGTGCACATGAAAAGTTGTGCTCCTTGGTTATATGTTAGGGAAAATCTTGCAAAGTAAAATCCGTAAAATGTGTTATTTTAGGGAAAGGGGGAAATCTTAGATATATCTGGCTGCGGGGTCAGCGTGCTGGTGCGTGACCACTTACATCAGTTTACAAGGGAACCGAGGGTGTGCGGTATGGGTCTTCATTAAACTGTTCTAACGTTAGTGTTCGACTTCGTTGCTTATAACAGGTCGTTGGGCTACCAAAGCGGAGGAGACATCACCTCTGCAAGCGATCAAAATTGTGATGGCATGTCTTCAGATCCTCAGGGATGTTTCCCAATGACGTAAGCAAACAACATATGTACATACAACAAAAAAGATACCAAGTCAATCAGAACAGAGGTGGAATAAAATAATCAATAACAAATTTATTTGTTGAATGAAACTGGAGGACATATGATAAATAAACTATGTTTATTATTTAAATTCTGATTGATTTCGATAATGATTCGTCAGCTTTTGATCACGCCTTTTTTGGTTTTTTGTTGGTTCTTTGCTGTACGTGTATACTGTATACTGATACAACTCTATTATTAATATGTCATCGATATAATATGCATAACAATATGATTAGGTTAGAAATATTACTTGAGTAATTTATAATATTTTATATTTTCAGTACCTCCGCATGTGGGAAGACGCAGCACTAAACGAACTTGAATTTTTGAATATAACCAACTGTCGCGAAATAAATACAATAATTCGAGAATATAACTTATTTCCTGAAGAAAGACATGCCCGCACTATTGATGTAACATTTACACAAAGTTCAAAACTGGTAAGAAATTCCTAGATATTTTTACTCCTTTTCCAAATGTATATTTTCTAGAAAAATATTTTTCATTTTTTACTATCAGGCACTACAAAAGTTTCGCCTGATAACAATAAATTATTGTACAAATTTTTTATTAGTGTTCCAAGTAATAAAAGGAACTTTATTGGTAGAGTATATATGTATAGTGCGCAAAAAGAAACGGACCACCCTGAATAACTCTCAATCCTAATGATCAGGTTTTCTCGTTTTAGAACTCAATCTTAATGGCTCACTGGGATAACCTCAAATATGCTAATTAATAAGTGCACACAGTATTTTAAGTTACGAAATCATACACAAAAACATACTTCCTCTGAATAAACATATCTTTTTCTAACGGATATCGATTTCTGACCCCCAAAATATAGAAGATAGTCGCAATCTGAGAAATAAGGTTCCAATAGTTTGGTTATGAGAGCGATCCTAAGTATATACCCTTTAATCTTAATTATACTTTTTGCGTATCTAGAGAGCTTTTTAAGCGAATTGAAAAATTTTTACACACTATTATAAAATTCGTTTATCCAAAGATATTTTCATACAAAATATAACTTTAAGTAAATATTTATTATTTTGTTTAATAATATTTGAATTATAAGGTTTATAATTATAGTTGTGAACAGAATTTTATAATTGCGTGCCAAAATTTTCAATTCACATAAAAAGTTGCCGAGTGAGAACGAAATACGCAAAAAGAAATATTAACATTGAGTTCAAACTTTGGATCGCTCTCCTGACCAAACTATTGGGGTATATTTTCCAGATTNCTACCCCATTTACTTAGGGGGGGGGGTCAGAAATCCGAATCCGTCGAAAAAATTTTATGTTTAGTCATAAAAAGTAGGTTTTTGTGTCTGATTTCGTAACTTAAGATATCGTCTGCACTTAATTAACATGTTGTAGGTGATCCTCTGGAGTCATTGAGTCCTAGAACATGAAAATCCAATCATTAGATAAAAAAAGTTATTCAAGGTTGTCCGTTTTTTCTTTGGAGCACTGCACATTATTACTTTTTTCGGTAATTTTTAAACCCCTCTCTCTACTATATCATTCATAAATCGTTTAACATCATCAGTTTAAATTCGAAAAAGAAGAAAAATATTATTCCTTTCCTTCGTACTATCAAAAGCTTGGCATCTCACATTCTGCATTAATTAATGGCCTACAACATCCATCAGGCTGAAGAACAGCAAAAATTCCAGACGTCCTAGCCTGAGCAAGGCTGTGGCTCCTATCCTCATACACGTATGAGCATGCATTAAAGTTTCAAAATGCAGCAGATTTGAGTCTCAGTACAGGAAATGAAACGCAAATCTAGAAAGCTTCTTCGAAATACAGAAGAGTTGTTGCTAAAAATAGAAAGGGTGGAAATGTCAAAAATAAAATGTGGTGAAAGAGAATAAAAAAGGCAATGGCCCACCTTGAACTGTCTGGTCTAATGAGTACTTAAACTAGACTATAGAAGAAAAAAAAACTTTAAAGTTATTTAATTGACGTCGAATTATAACACTTACTGTTAATTTCCACCTATATTTAGATTTAGGATAACATACCTGCCAACTTTTGCTTTTTCCCAGTGGTAGAGAAAAAACTATTGAAATGATTTAGAGGGCTAAGAATTCACCATCACCTAAAACACATTAAGATTGGTCCTCTTTATGTACCGTTTATTCCGGCGTATAACGCGCACTTTTAATACAAAAAATAACATTGGAATTTACGGGTGCGCGGTATATGCCGAATATAAAAAATTATAGATTAAAAAAATTTAAATATAGAAAAATACTTTTATTTTAAGGAAATAACATACCTTTACCTATATACTTTATTGATTTTCGTTATTACATAAATATATTCTTTTCTCAGAATCACATTATTACTCTTTTAACTCTACCTTCATATACATCAAATTCACCTTCTTCTACCTTCAAATTCAGTTCTCTTATTTTTGCAAAAGAGGGAAAAAAAACTTTTTATTTACGATCTTGAAAGACGAGATATTGCACCTGTACAATCCAAATTTTCGTGCGCATTACACGAAGAGTATATCTTAAAATTTAAAAAGTATTAGAAATTACGGGTGCGCGTTATACGCTGGGGTGCGTTATGCGCCTGAATATACGGTATGCTTAAATTATTTAAATGCATATTGAATCAAATTTGTTAAAACAGGAATCAAGCATGACTGCAAAAATTTTGCTACCACATTAAATACAAAAATAAAATGTTCCACAAGAACAGTTGGCAGGTATGGAATAATATAGTTATAATATTATATCTGTAACTTGATAACTCAACTGTATAAAAATGTATACATAACTCAAAATCTAAATACTATATAGAATTATATAGTGATAGTATTTTACTCCCGAAATAATGATTAACACCTTATTCATATTTATGATTTTCATATATTTGGTATCTATATTTCTTAATATTATTATAAAAAAAACTCCTAAAATGTCAATTAAATTTTCAGGCAAGTGATATTTTTCACAGTCAATATGCAATTGAACCAACAATCTGTGATTGTGGTGTTGAAGAAGTTAAACTTTTCGTTGATCCAAATAGTCAAGACGATTTTGTAGAACTTGACCAAGAACAGAAAATTGACGAAGAATTGCCAGTATTATCTAAAAATCGTTCACCTGCAAGCTCTCCAAAATACAACTCAGAAGACCAGTAAACCCATAATTTAACAAAAATAGTATGAGGACTTTATTTAATAGCATTCAGCACATAAAATAGTTGGATAACTGGAATGATTTTATTTCAAGTGATGATTAACTAATTTTTAATTAAAACATTTTACTCAACCCTAAACTTCATGATGAATTCTATAATAATAAAAACGAAGTATAACTTTCACTTGTCTGAGCCTTTGGATTTGCTTTGTATCACTTTATATTTAAACAGTTCATAAACATAAGATTATTTAAATGAAAACCGCCATATTGCTAAGTGAGATTTTTTAAATGTGGATACAGCTCAAATTGGTTGATTACAAAAATGGGCAGCTAAAAATGAATGATTACGAAAATGAGCTTAGTTCATTATGCGTGCTTACAAAGATTGACAAATTTAAAATGCATCCTTACGAAAATTAAAACAGCTCTAAAAGTCGTGTGTACGAAAATAGACACAGCTAAAAATGCATGATTGCAAAAATAGACACAGCTCAAAATGTGTGGTTACAAAATGGACACAGCTCAAAATGCATGATTACAAAAATAGACACAGCTCAAAATGCGTGATTACGAAAATGGATACAGCTCAAATGCATGATTACAAAAATGGGCATAGCTCCTCAAAATGCGTGATAACTAAAATAGACAAAGCTCTAAAGGCATGTTTACAAAAATTTACACTGCAGGAAAATCTTGCAGTTAGGGAAAATCTTGCAAATTGTCACTTAATGTTTTGTCTTAGGGAAAAGGGAAACCTAAGTAATTACAATAAGTCTAATAAATAGGTCAATGAAAAAATATGTTTATCACAGTTAGAAATGGGAAAACGCTAAAATTTTAATTAATGCATACTTAAACTAAAAGTAGATTGAAAGAAAAGATGCGAATATTAAAGTGTGAGAAAGCGTTTCGTTTTGAATAAAAAATTAAGAAAAAGATTTAGATAAAGATCAGATGAAGCTTTTTATGTTATACATATAATATATATATAAAGAGAGATAGAAAATATATTAGAAAATAAAAAGCTTTATGATTAACAAAAATTACAATTCCAGCAACAATATTTTATTAAATTACAAAAAAATAAAGTATGATGTATTAAAAGCTGATTTTAAAATATGATCATATTTTACAATATTTATGATACAATTATTATTTTATGTACTTTATATACAGTAAATAAATTAAGTAACAATATTTTAGCATCAAATATTTACTTCACTAACTAAATCAAATAACAAGTCAATGAACATTTGAAAAATTAAGACACATTTTTTTTTCATACATACATAAAAGTTTATCTGCTAATAAACTAATTCAAAACTTTAAATACAAAATGTGTGAAAAAATTTAGACACTTAAATCATGAAAAGTTATTCTCTAAACACAAGAAATCGCAATCGAAATGAAAAAAATCAAATCTTTGTAAACATACTTAGTCAAAATAACATTTATTACATGAATATTAGTCAAAATTAAAGAATATAACTAGCTAAGGTCACCAATAAACAAATTTCGTAGCTGCCTAATTATTAAATTAAAATTTGAAAAAACAGTTTAAAACACTAGCTGAAAAGTATGTAAGAAAAATTTATTATAATTATGAAAAGAAAAACAAACATTCTTCGTGTAAAAAAAAAACTCAATTTAAATTATAAAACTCAAATCTAAATAACAATAAAAAAAACAAAATAATAATTGTATTAAGGAATTAAATAGTATAGGATTTAGGAAAGAAATTGGCGAACTTATTTTGAAAACACTAAAACATTTAACACAACTCTAAAATTAGGGAAAAAATCAACAAAGAATTTTTAAAAACTACACAAACTAAAATTGAAGGAATTTCATTCATTTAAATTATTTTCAACAAACATTTAAATGCTGATATTGATAGTCAACATGTTAAATTACAACTAGGCAAAATATATTACAGTGTTTCAAATCATCTTTGGCACTTAAACAAATAACAATGAACATGGTATATTTTTAATTAACCAGATAAAAGAAATTGCTTTTTTCAAAGCTATTTTTGGCCAATTATATATATATATCTTTTANTGTTATAACTACATATATATATATATATATTCTTTTAAATTATTGTAAGAAAAATAAATTAAAAAAATTTTCATTGCATACATGTTTCAAATTAACCTTATTTTTGCAATTATGTAAATAATAATGAGTCGGTGAAAAATATTTTGTCAATTTTAAGGCAGGTAATCACATTGTTGTGAGGACATGCTTAACATGTCTACAATTGCTCTAGGAAAGCTACTCGCTTTCAATTCTTGATTTTATTTCCTGATAGATCTTCAATTGTTCAACAGAGACTGATGGAACAGTTGATTTAAGCGCAATCAAAAAGTCTTCCATTTGAACATTACTACTTAATTCTTCCACCTTTTTCCCATCTACAAAAAAAATCACAAATTAAAAATAGAAATAAATAAGAACAACTATTATTATTTCCAGATTATTCTATTTTTTTTCTATCAAAAATAACTAATTTAAATAATAAATATTTTTTATTAACAATTCTTAAAACTAATTAACAATTAAGAAAAATAACTAACAATTATTTAAAAAGTTGTTTATTTCAGATAAAAACTATACTTACAAAACTAGTAAAGAAAAAATAGAATGAACCTTAATATACTTAAGTTGTAATTTGATTACTGTTCCCCTTTAAAAAATTTCTAATAAAATTAATAATTTCTGAAGTTAATTAAATAAGAAAATGAAAAATGGAAGAATATAGAAATTATTTCTTCAGTCTATATTTATAATAGCAGTAAACATCAAGTGCCTTGATACATAATTATCAATTAAATTTTTATTTACCAAATATGAAGCATTATTTACCAAAATTTTTAACCTTATTATAGTCCCATAATTTTTTTTTTCTTATTTACAATTTTTTCACATCTTCATGACAAAAAACATCTTTGAAATAAATCCTGACTATACCACTTTACCATCACAATACAGATAAGAACTGACAATATTTACTTATTTTAGAGAATATTATGATTTTTTTCTTAAAGCATATATTACAAGCTACTTAAGTAATCATTAAATAATTTAAAAATCCTTAAAATCAAACATAAATTAAGAATACATTTTCTTATTGCAATAGTTATGAAGATATGAAGCTTTATGTTTTTTATAGTTTTATATTTGGTTCTAAACTAACATCATGTTTTTAAATGTTTTTTTTTTATAATTAAAATTAACTTTACGAATTTGTAAGCCCTGAAATCAATGATTACACAAGCTTGTCAAGCGTTTTGGATGCCAAGCAATTTTTTTTTATTAAAAAAATTTTAAAATTAAAGGAAACTAAAATTAATATGTTATGAAACTCACTGATTGTTTCTAATTGCTGACACTTACATTCCCCATACTAATTCCTTGAAATAAATCCTGAATTGGTAAAAATATTGTTTGTGAGTCATTAGGTGGTACACCATAAATATTTATTAAATTGTTTTAATTCACTTAACATCACAGTCACTGAAAACAATATTTATAAAAAAAAATATTATACCAATAAAGAAATTATAGATAGATTCAGTAAAAAAGTATAATTTTGGATGCCATTATGATATTTTCTAGTAAAAATCAGAAATAAAAATCTTAAAAATTTATTTGAAGGGGTAACATAAAAAGAATATGACAAAATCTATGTCAAACCTGGGAAAGTGATAAAGCAGCTTATAAGCCCAATTGTGTTCAAATATATGAATAAAAATTTAGAGAATTGTACTTAAATTGAAATAGAACAAAAGAAACATAAATACAATTCTTTAATACAATACAATAATACATAACATAAATACAGAGCAATAACAAAAACATAAATACAATACAATAAATACAATTCCTTAGGGGCCATCTTGCATTCATTCATACAGGAGCTTTACTGTGAAATACTGTGAATTACTTTAAAAATTAAAAATAATTGTTTTCAAATAAAATTGTGCAAGTCAGCAAATACAGAAATAAAAATGCTAGTTCTATTTTACGACTATTTTCTAGGACATAAGAATATAACAGTGTACTATACTGTAGTACACTGTTATAACTACTATAGTAACAATACTAGTGCCTCTTCTGCTATGAAAATTCATATTGTAAGAAAGATAGACTTTTTCTTAGATAGTACATGAGTCAATGAGATGTAAAAAGAAAACACAAACTAAGATGAAAATTATGAAAAGAATTTACAATAGGAAATTTACACAATATCATAAGTGAGTGTTTTAATAATAAATTATATTTAATCAACTATAAAAAAACGTCTTATACCAGATTTAAGTGATATATATTTAGGACAACAAGTTATGACCTAAATATAAAAGACATATCTGATATTATTCAAAACCAAGTGTTGCACTTAATTGGGATTAATGCATGAAGATTTTAAATGTAATATTGTTATATGTTTACAACATTATATGGATGTATTATGAAAAGTAAAAATCTTATTAAATAAAGCATATAAAAAAGACAATTTTTAAACAAAACAAAAAAATTAAGAGCATATTTTGAATTGTAATGATACATCTAATATTTCATACTGCTAAAAAATGTATATGCTATAAAAAAATTTATTATGTTGAAAAAAAATTTAAATTTTCAAATATTATTTGCCTTCATTTTATTTTAGTGGTTTCCACCAAGTTGCTACTTCAGGATATTTTACCTTAGTTTAATAAACTAAAATATTTTTAAAATATTGTTATTCTTTTTTCCCTTTGAAGCAAAATAGCTAAACAGCAAAAATAGTTACACTATGTGTTTTGATAGTTTGAAATAAAAGTATAATGGCTTAAATATTTTTTTTAAAATAACAACTTACATAACTTACATACAAACATAACTTACAAACACCTGAAAATATTAAACAGTAATTTAAATGGCACACGGACTGTAAAAAGCTGTGTGATTCTGCTGTGTCTGCCCTATAGTGTACAATTTTGTTTATGTAATTATGTAATAGTGTACAGTTTTGTTTATGTAATTATAAATAAAAATAAATGCTAAGTCCATTAAAAAGGTTCTAGACTTATTTAAATATAGGACATTTTCAAATAAACTAATATTTTAAGGCTTACAGTCCCAAGACAAAAGCTAATTTTAAGATATTTACNTCCGACGAAGCATCCTTTCATGTTTCTGGCATTGTTAATCGCCATAATGTGCGCATATGGGGATCTGAAAACCCCCATGAATACCGTGAGACAAAAAGGGATTCCCCAAAGGTTAATGTGTGGTGTGGACTAATGCACGACGAGTCATTTGGGCCTTTCTTTTTTACAGAAAAGATCGTCTCATCAGTCATATACTTAGGCATGTTGGAAAACTTCTTATTTCCACAACTAGAAGAGCTTCAGCTACATGTTTTTTTGCAGCAAGATGGTGCACCACCTCATTGGGGTATCATCGTTTGTAGTTCTTTGAATGACCATTTTCCAGGAAGATGGATCGGGCGAGGAGGTCCAATTCCTTGGCCACCCAGATCACCTGATATAACGACGCTGGACTTTTTTCATTGGGAATTTATAAAGGATAATGTTTACAGGAGGATTGTGTCGAACATTGATGGCCTAAAAGCCAGAACTACAACCGCAATAGCCTCTGTGGATGCCAACATGCTTGCCGCTACCTGGCATGAAATTGACTATCGACTTGATATTCTCCCTGCAACGAAGGGGGCACACGTGGAAGTTCATTGACAAGGATCATGAAACTTTTTGAGTCTATCTAACCATTTATGTTATTAATTTTAATCTATCTTTATTATTTTATGAGTTATTAAACATCAAAATGGGTCCGGGACTTCATAAACACCCTGTATATTAAATTGTTTTAATTCACTTACAGTCATTATATGAAAACGATATTTATAAAAACAAATACTATACCAATAAAGAAATTATAGATAGATTCAGAAAAAAGTATAATTTTGGATGCCATTATGATATTTTCTAGTAATAATCAGAAATAAAAATCTGTTAAAAATTCGTTTGAAGGGTAGCATAAAAAGAATATGTGGGGAAAGTGATATCGACAATGTCAACCTTCTTCTATGTAAAGGTACCCCAACATAGAATCGAGTTAACATGTCTTATATACTAGTGAATTGGATTTGTATATTTGTAGCGGTAGCAATGCTACAAATATAACAAAATCTAAGTCAAACCTGGGACAAAACAATTATACAATACATAACACAAATACAATACACAACATAAATAAAGAAAACAAAAACATAAATACAATACATAACATAAATAAAATATATAACATAAATACAATACATAACATAAATACAATATATAACATAAATACAATAACAAAACATAAATACAATTCTTTAGGGGCCACCTTGCATTCATTCACGCAGGAGCTTTTCTGTGAAATACTGTGAATTACTTTAAAAATTAAAAATAACTGTTTTCAAATAAATTTGTGCAAAGCAGCAAATCCAGAAATCAAAATTGTAGAATCCAATCATAATCTTAAATGAAAAAATGATAAAAGTCAGTTTAAAAAAGCAGCATAAAAACAATAAAATAAAATCTATGTCAAACCTGAGAAAGTGTTAGTTCTATTTTAGGACTATTTTCTAGGACATAAGAATATAACAGTGTACTATACTATAGTACACTGTTATAACTACAATTATAACAATGCTAGTACCTCTTCCGCTATGAAAATTCCTATTGTAAGGAAGATAGATTTTTTCTTGGATAGTACATGAGTCAATGAGATGCAAAAAGAAAACACAAACTAAATTGCAAATTATGAAAAGAATTTACAATAGAAAATTTACACAATATAATTAGCAAGTGTTTTAACAATGAATTATATATAATCAACTATAAAAAAACGCCTTATACCAGATTTAAGTGATATATATTTAGGACAACTAGTTATGACCTAAATATAAAAGACACAGCTGATATTATTCAAAACCAAGTGTTGCACTTAATTGGGATTAATGTATAAAGATTTTGAATGTAATATTGTTACATATGTTTACAATATTATATGGATGTATTTTGAAAAGTAAAAATCTTATTAAATAAAGCATATGAAAAAAAAAACAATTTTTAAACAAAAAAAATAAGAGCACATTTGAATTGTAATGATACATCTGATTTTTCATACTGTTAATTAAAATTTTCAAATATTATTTGCCTTTATTTCATTTTAGTGGTTTCCACAAAGTAACTACTTCAGGATAATTTACCTTAGCTTAATAAACTAAAATATTTTTTAAATATTGTTATTCTTTTTTCGCTTTAAAGCAAAATAGCTAAACAGCAAAAATAGTTTGAAATAAAAGTACACAATGGCTTAAATATTTTTTTAAAATAACAACTTGCATAATATACACCTAAAAATATTAAATAGTAATTTAAATGGCACATGAACTTATAGTGTACAATTTTGCAGTTTTGTTTATGTAATTATAAATAAAAATAAATGCTAAGTCCATTAAAAAGGTTCTAGACTTATTTAAATATAGGACATTTTCAAATAAACTAATATTTTAAGGCTTACAGTCCCAAGACAAAAGCTAATTTTAAGATATTTACCTTTTTCAACTAATTCTACATTTTTCTCAACTCTCAATATAACAGCATTAGAACACAGAGAGTAAAAGTCTGCTCCTGAGAGATTGGACGGACATTGATCAATTATTTTTGCCAAGTCAACATTTTCATCTAAAGGTATTCTACAACAATAAAAACAAGGTTAGAAATATATACATTGTACATACTTAGATAATGTAAAAACTTATTTAATAAAAAAACTGTAATATAAACTAAAACACTGGAAACATAGGGTTTAACAAGCAATTTATTTAAAAATTAAAATATGTACCATTCATTATTCTATATTTATTCAACAATAACTTTGTTTGGTCTAAGAAATATTTAAGAAATACTTAACAAATATTGAAAATTGCACAGGCAATCTATTTAATTAAAATATTATTCATTGTTATATATTTATGAAACAATAATTTTGTTTGGGCTAAGAAATATTTAAGAAATACTTTACAAATATTGTAAATTGCACTGCAGATTTGAAGACTTGGGATTATGCCTGATTTTTGAAGTAGAAAAAATTCAAATTTTTCCCTTGATATAACTAATTTACTTACGTTTTACTCAATAATTTAAAACATAATAAAAAAACTGAATTAATTAACAAAGAGATAACTAAAAAAGAACTTTAAAAAAAAACACAAATTTCATCACATAATTTTTTTAAACTCAATAATAAAATATAAATTTAATTGCAATAATAAAATACAAAATTTTTATAACAGTCTAAGCAGTAGCAGTAAAATGTCTTCAATAAAATGAAGCAACTCTGAGCATAACATTTATATTAAACACTATTAAAAAGATAACTAAAAACATGAATTACTTTCTAGTCAATGCTTTCAGAATATTTAGCTTAGCTTTCTTGCTATCAGGAATTCCAACATATAGAAGGCGATCAAACCTAAAAATAATACAAATAGGCACGAAATTATTATCAAGATACCTTAACAGAAACACATTCAAAAGAAAATTGTCATTATAATTGAACCCATATATATTTATAAGTGATTTATAATTTAACTTTTTTTACTGGTACAAAATGTCAAGGAGGATATTTTAATTTGTTAAAAACAAGAAACTATAAATAGAAAAACTGAAAAGATCATTTATAATAATTTTAATATGTTATTGAAATAAGTGTTGTTAGCAGTGTAAAATAAGAGAAATGCTGTAAATTTTTTGTATTTATGGTAATCAGAGAGCAATATATGTATTTTTTTACCTTCCTGGCCTTAAAAGAGCTGGATCAATTAAATCAGGTCTATTAGTAGCCCCAATCACAAATACTTCAGATTTTTTGTTAAGCCCATCCAACTCTGAAAGAAGTTGTGAAACAACTCTGAAATTAAAATATATTTATTAAAATTAAAGTATGAATTGAAATTAAAACCAGTTCAAATAGCAACTTAATATGATATTTAAGGTATGAGTCTAATTATTTAAGACAATGTTCAAGTAAATTCATATTCCATTAAGTAACAATAAAATCTGATACATATTTTCTTCAGAGCTGAAGAATTTGAAACAGAAAAATACGGCAAAGGATAAGCATTAAAAGAACATAATGCTGCTATATGAATGAACATCAATCATATAAAATCAAATCTAAGTGTTTCATGCATAAAAATTCATTATGAGATTTAAAATGAAAAAAATATAACACCTAATATTAACAAAGTAGTAAAATTAAAAATTATGTTTTTAGAGCAAAACGAAATTTTTAATTAAAAAGTTGGTCACAATCTAGTTTTCAAGATAAGTTTTTTATACCCTACTTTGTGGCGAATTTCAGAACAGTACTAAGAAATATAAATAGTAGGCTTAGCAACTAAACATTAAATAAACAAGACTAAAAAAATTATAATTCATTTACATAAAAATTTAAATCATATATTTAAATGCTGATAACAAGCATACTAATATGTATTTATCATTATAAACAGTTTATATTAAACTGATGACGAATCTTAAAAAACAATTTTGTAGATGTGAAGTATTCTAGGGCATGTGCTATAAATCTGCCACATATCATTTCACCTTTAAATTGACTCAACTTTATTATTAAAAAAATTTATAAATAAATAAATTTGTGATTTTTGTAAAACACTCAAACCATGTGATTCCTTATTTTTCTCCTTACACCAAAGTTCAATAGTTAAAGAAATTCATAATAAACAATTAAATTGTTTAATGAATTTGAGTTCTCCTTCTGTTCAAAAAATAATAACAAATGGGCATTGTGCAAAAATTTAAGAAAACATAAATTGAAGTAAAATTATCAAACATAAATAATAACACAAAATTAAAAAAAAAAAATTAAAATAACTAAATGAAATTATCAAACATTGGGTAAACAATAATAATAGGCTTACAATAATAGTAGGTAGTAGGTTAACAATTTAACAAAAAAATTTAAAACCTGTCCATAACTCCACCAGAATCTCCACTTCTTCCTCTATTAGGAGCTAAAGAATCCAGTTCATCAAAAAATATTATGCAGGGAACAGCACTTCTAGCTTGACTAAACACTATAAAAAAATCAGTAAACCTTAACAAATACAATAGTAGAATAAGTACAGTTAATAAAGAAGATAAAACTCGAAGAATAATTCTTAAAAACATAAAAGAAAACAAAAAGAAAGATTCTTAAATACAGCAAATAAAAAGAGTTTTGAGTAAATAGTTTGTATTTGTAACAGCTCCATTATTTATACTTAAGATAACATAAATGTACCTTCTGCAAAAACCAAAAATCTTTCATCATTATTGCAAGAGATTCAAAATTATTAAAAAAAACGGTTTTATTTATATAAACTTAATTTTAACTCTGATATATGAAGACTTCCTTTAAATTAGCAGACAACAACACTAAAAAAAATAAAGTTAGTGTCACTTTTATGCTCATACTAGTAATTCTTATATTTTTTAATCATTAACAAATTTTTGCTGAAAAATAAATGACATTGCAAATTAGACAAGATAAAAAAAAATAATAATAAGTGCCTTCATTAGACTTCAAAGCTCTGTACCACAAAATTAACAAAAATAGATAGCCCAGTATTCAAATAAGGAATTTCACATATATGTATAGTCAACGGGCAATATAGAGAACCTATCGTCCAAATGGTATTGAAATATGACTAAAATAAAAACTTTCCACAAGAAATTTCAATTTCTTAAAACTGTCTCTTACTTATGTCATCCACTCAATTCCTCATATACATAATATAATGTTCAGAATAATACAAGTATATTACTAGTGACTAGTGGATGATGTGAAAGTCTAATTAATTTGGTCCAAACTTAGAAATAAAATGAAATAATGGTCTTAAATTATCAAAAAAATAATTAAACTGTCAAGGGTTAACAGACTATATAAAATTTTACTTTAGTTACTTTAGAAAAACTACAGCAATAATGAATATTAAAAAGTAATGTACCTGCTCTTACATTTTCTTCACTTTGCCCAACATACATATTAATCAGTTCAGGCCCTTTCACACTGTAAAAATATTAAAAAACTATGACGATCAAATTGAAAAACGATTTGAAAAAATTGCACAGTAGATGCATTCAAATGTGAAGTTTTAAATCAATAAGCTAGTTTAACCCATAAATGATAAATAAAAAAAGTTTCGATAGTACTATTTCAGAAAATAATAAATTTTGTAAAAATCAACTTTTTAGTTAAATCAAATTTCTTGCTAAAATAATCTTGATGGAAACTGTTTGTTTTATTTGAATAAATCAATTTATTTTATTTGAATAAAATTAAATAGTGCAATGCAAAATGCAAAGAACAAAAAAACAAAATCTAAAACTATATAAGATTAAAATAGTTGTTAATAAATAAATGCATAATCTCAGTAATCTTTAGGATAATGCAAATTATAACATTTGAGTCTGAGCTGAAAAGAAAATTTAACAGATTTAATTCATGTGAAGAAGATTTTTTTATTATATTGATATTATATTTTTAATGTCAACACTAAAATAGATATTAAAAACATAAAGTAAGGCAAATGTTTTATTATTTTTCATACAAACTTTTTTTGACAGCATATTATACATTTTAAAACTGGCATATGCATATGAAAAAATAATTGAGTATATGAATAATTGCAACTATAAAACATTAAAAATAAGTGAAAATATGTAATTTGTAAAATTTTTATATACTAAGCTTTATGCACAGAATTCATAAACCTACCTTAAGAAATTAAGCGAACACTCAGTTGCTACAGCTTTAGCCAGTAATGTTTTGCCAGAACCAGGTGGTCCATATAGTAGCACACCTAAAAATGTATGAATTAATAATATATTTCCCATTAAATCAAATTTATCCAACACTAGATTATGAAAATAGCAAATTAAAAATGCAATATTACTAAAAGGAATAATGTTTCAGGGTTTTTTTAGGGGCTAAAGTTTAGTTTCTAATTCTTACATTCTAAATAATAAACAAAACTGTATTGATATGACACTTTTTGAAAATTATCCAATAATTTCAATGTACGTAATAGTACAATTAAATATGGCTGAAGTTGAGCTTTCTATTTACTAAACATATGCTCTTTCTATATATTTTACTAAATAAACTTCAGTTTCCTTTCTTTTTAAATGTTATTTTACAAAAGCTGATAATTAAATCCATATTAATCTCTTGTTGCACAAGCCAGTCTCAAATTATAGACCTGAAATAAAAATGCATTTGTGTGTTTAAAATTAAGACGTAAATAATTTAACATTGCGTGCCATATATAAAAATATTAACACTCTCTGAAATTAGTTTGAGTTGACTCAGGCATAAGAAAAGAAGATAATATTACATGATATCACAAAAACATTGTTAACATATAGATACTATGTATTTGCACTAAACATATAAATTTTTCAGATCCTAACAAAAAAATATCTAAAGTTGATTTTTCATATAAATTAGTTTAAAATGCAGTGGATTATTTTCCAATTAAAAAAATAATCAACTAAACATCATTTTAAAATAAAAGTTTTAAGCTGCAATAAAAAATTCCTCATTTTTTTGAGTAAATAAATAATAAATTAAATAAAAAATTTGACCATTAGAGTTTCCGAATTAAAAACTACAACTGTTCAAAGTTTAAAACAAATTGGGTATGATAATCATGATTTTACATTAAATATATTTCTTACTTTAAGTTGCAATACTGAGTTACATAACACATTCATTTTTTAAAACATAGTATTTTTATTTTAAACAGTTTTTAACTAATATAAATTTTTTAAAAAATATCGGAGTGGCCATGTAGCATACTTTTTAACTTGTTTTTCATAAATGGGACGTTTATTGTATGATGCTTTTACCTTAGAATTATCTAAAACACATAGACACACACCGGTTTTGTATTGAAACAAGTTTTGAAGCAAGCAAAATTTAAACTGTGATTATACAGTTAAAATTCAAACAAATATTAAATTGTTTTGATTTCTTTTAATTTCTTTTTTTACGCTTTTGTGTAAATATTATTCAGTTATAATTAACAGGGTTTTTTAATAGAATACAGAGAGCACAAACCTGATCTTCTGAGTCCAGAAAACAGAATTTCAGGATGTTCTAAAGGAAGTTGGATTGTGTCTAAAATCTCTTGTTTTACATAATTCAAACCTCCAACATCTTCAAATTTAACATTTGGAATCTGTTAATGACAACAAATGTCATGAAACGCAAGAGAAATGATATTAAACAAAACACTTGAACAACGTCAACAAAAATGCAAAATCATTTTAAAAACAAACAAAAAAAAGTGTTTTTTATGCCATCTTAAGATAATAATATTTTACTATAATTACATGGTGTACCCTGCATACATAAAAATGCTATAATATGTTCTCTAACATGTAATGTATAGATCAGATATTATGCACCTTTGAACTATCTTATTTTAGGTCAGCAATTTGAACTAGCAAATGAAAACTTGCCAAAATTCTAATCAATTTGCAAGAATTTGAAATAATTTACTTTCTTTCTTTATTATTAATTAATAAAAAAAGGAAGCAATATTTCATTCTATTCAGGTACAATAAGAAAACAAAATTTTATTATTAACTTCCTAACCCGAAATGTTTCCTAAAAACCAAACAAACTTTAGGCACATAAGAGTGATTTCTTCTATTGGTACAAAACAGTGCAAACTGATTCAAATTGCATTAAAGAAAGGAAAAATTTTGAACGAAATTGCCGAAATTCTGACTGTTTAAGTAGTAATTATATATAAATATTAAAAATATGAATATTTAAGTTTGACAAAAAATATGTAATGTATTATAAGAAACCTTTGGAGCTCCAATAGCCTCTGCAAACTTTGAGTGAAGAGTTTCCAGAGAATTTAATAAATCTCGCTGCACAACTGGGACAGATGCTAAAATTAAGTCTTCCTCCTCCTGAAAATTTAGTTTATTGTTAACTCTGAAAAAGAAACGAAAAGACATGCGTTTTAAAACACTTTAATAGAAATATAATTGCAAAAAAAAAAGAAGTTTTAAAAGTGTGATGCTTATTACCATATTAAAAAATAAATTTTTCATTATTTTTTTTAATTTATTTACACATTGATTTGCCCATTAAATAATATACTGGTTTGTTTCTTTTCTTTTTCATCCAAAGTTGTTTTATGTATTTATTCACTCACTATATAAATAATAATTTATAGTAGATAAAAATCCATAAGTAACATATTATTCATAAAAAAGTATTAAACAACAAAAGCTAATTAATGATGATAGCTTAAGTCCATATCTACTTTCCTCACACTAATATAAGTTTAGAAACATATAAAAAAAAACATTTAAATCTCAAATGGAAATATATTAATGTTTTAGGAACAATTAAGGAACTTAAAGAAACCTTTTTCTACTTTTAAGTTGTTTGTTAGTCTCAAGATAAACAAATTAAATATGTTTAAATATTTAAGCAAAAATTAAGAGTTTCTCCTTTAAAAAAAATAAATAAATAAGAAACTCAAAATTGTATGTGAAAACCTGGAGTCTTGAGATCTATTAACAAAGGCCAAATGTAAGATTCTCTATTAAAACATATTAATAACATGACAATTGATATATCAATGATGAGTCTAAGAATTAATGAAATTCTTTATAATATATATATGTCCTACAGTAGACAAACCTAAAGACATGGTTCCCAATAGAACACCAAAATCAAGTCTCATTGGTTGCGGTCAGTGAGCAGGTAGATGACCACTTTGATCAGGCATATGCGGTATCCGACCTAGTTAAACTGTTCTTCTATAAAGAGCTAGTGCACTTGACGTCGGGATTTTAAAGTGGGGAACATATCTTCTCGGCAGAAGATCAAAATTGTGATGGTATGTCTTCGGATTATCCTCAGGGATGTTTTTTCATACTATCGCCAATAACCCACAAAGCAGCTCTACTATGGCTTAAATAAACTATTACTACTGCACCTTAAAATGCAAAACTCTGTAAAAATGTAAAATTAATGAAACATTAGTTTCATAAAACTTTTTATTTTTACTAAAACATATTTAATAATATAATATGAGGAAAATAATTTATAAAAATATTGTTGAACAGGGCTTTAAGAATAGTAAACACTTTGATCATGCAAGAAATTAAAAAATTATAGATTAGTGGTGTGTTATTTCATCAAATATGTGTCAAATAATCATCAGACATACCACATCATATCGGCTAAAACAAATATTTAATAAGTTTAAAATAACTGGTAATAAAATCAATTAATATGATTTCAAGGGTTCTAGAATGATTCTTAAATTGAACTTGCTACACATATCAAAAAGGAAATTAATAATAAGGTAAATTAATAATGAAAATTAATAATTAAGGTAAGATTTAATTTTATTATCAAGATGAGAAACTTACACAAATTTCCTCATTCTGCTATAAGCATTACTCAAAGCTTGGCTAACCAAAGCACACAAATCACCCAAAACAAAACCCTGAAAATAAAGCAAAATTTATAATTTAGGGCTCTTGTGAGAATTTTTTAAAACAATTTTAACTAATAAGCCAATTATAATTAATATGTTAATAACAATTAATAAGTTTAAATTGTTAATCTTTATAAAATTAATAACTTAAATTATAATTTCACTATGTACATTTAGTAACAAAATGTATTCAACAACTTTTTCGCAGAACCAACTAATACATTAGGTATTATAAATTAGTTTTGTAAGTAAATGTATCAAAATATTCATTGATTAAAAAGCTGCCAAATTACTTATGAAATTTATGAGCAAATTTTAAAAAGTCATGCTTTTAAAACTAGATTTTTCAGAAAGTATTTGGACCGATTTTGCTCAGATTTTGTATTTTGCCATGAAAAATTACATTCTCTAAAATGGCATAAAAAATTTTATACCTTGCATTTCAAATTTTTTTCTTTTATTATTAAATAAAATAATAAGAAATAAGAAATATTTACTAAAAGTTAATTATTATTATTGTTTGCAAAGAATTACTTTTGAATAAACAAAATTTATGAGTAAAAAAATTTCAAGATCACTTAAAAAGCTCTCGAGATATGGCGAAACATGCAAAAAATAAAATTAACATTAAGAGATCCAAACTTTAAACACCTCTCCTGCCCAAACAAGAGGAAGAATATTTTAGGGATCAGTAACCCAAATCGGGTTAAAAAATGTATATTATTCAGAGAAAGTGCGTTTTTGTGTCTGATTTGGTAATTTAAAAGATTGTCTGCAATAATCAATTAGCCTATTTGAGGTCACTCTCTCGAACCATTAAGATTGAGACCAAGAATGTGAAGAACCGATCATTAGATTAAAATTTATTCAGGTTGGTCTATTTATTTTTGTGCACTGTACAGTAACAGGTAATAATAGGGGAATGATCATGAACATTACCCAGTCTTAAAGCAATATCATCTGTATGAGAAACATATACAGAAGAGTGTTTGCATGAAATAGATGCAGATAGGTGAAAAATAACAAAATCAAAGATATATACAATTTAGTAACATTCAATTTAGGTATATTGCGACAATTTATTTTCAATTCACTTCTAAAATAGACATTCTTATTTTGATACAGTTCTTTCTTTGGGTACTTTTTCAGATAGATAAAAAGAGGTTGATTAAAATTTCATCCTATAGTATAAATTAAAAATTGTTAATGTATTGATTCATTTTAACATTGACTTACAGCTGTCCTTTGAGCCAAATATGAAGTAGATACGTCATTTCCAACATCACAAACAGTTAGCAGATCTTGCAAAAGTATAGATCTTTCCTCTTCAGTGGGAGCCTGAAAAAAAATTTGTTGCTTAGGACAAGAAAGAACGAGAAGGCACAATTACCACCGTTGAAATCTCAAATTACAACAAGTCTAATAAATTTAAATAATTTCTACGATTTTTCATTTCTTGTTAGACATATACAAACGTTCTAAAATCACACTCATGGGTTTTTTTTTTAATTTATAACAGAAAAACAGTAAAGGCTTTAAAAAAAATTGTTGCAAATCCATGTGATAGAAACTTCTGAGATCTGTTTTTAATTCAAAAGTTTCTCAGTGGATGGCTCTACAAATAGTAAACCTGTATCTTAAAGAAAAACAGCTGAAAATAATATTGCAACTTTCCTAAAAAAAATTTAATGAATCGAAATTACATTAAAACATTTTTGAAATACTATCAGCCATAATCCCATATTGCACTTTTTGAACAAAATTTTTCTTAATTAAAAAGCAACAAAAAATTGTCAAAGTATCTTTCAGTGCCCTCTGCTGGAAAGTTTTATATCTAAATTTAGTGTAACAAAATTGTCAAAGTAGTGTACAATGCCCTCTGCTGGTGAGTTTTGTAACTAAAACTAGTGTAAAAAATATGTACTTTTTCACCTTAATTTCTTGCAAGAATTGTTTTTTTTTTAAACAGAAATTGACTTCCTGTAATAAATTTTTAAAGACAGTCCTCTAATTTAGGACAGTAAGCATATTAAAAAATAAATAATGAATATAATTAGAGAAAATTATACACATTTGTGGATTAAGCAGAGAATTGAGATTTTTAAAGTAAAAATTTTTCCATTATAATGAGTTAAAAAGTTTCAAACATAAAAGCAAAGATGAAGAATGAAAAAAAATATTTCACTAAACAGGAACATAAATTGAGAATTAAACCTAATATACAGTTGTCAATTATAAATACAAATTGAAATGTGCATTCTGACAAACAGAAATACCTTCATTTCCACAAAATGCAAAAATGCTGGCATTAGATTGCTATTCAGCTTTGCTGTTGTAGTGGTTCCTATGACAACAACTGGCCATTCACTCCCATGACTGTTAACCTCTTTCAGAAGTTTTGCTAAGGAATGGATCACTCTGGTATCTGCAAGAATAATTTGCAATTTGTATAATAGCCTAATAACAAGATGTTTACTAAGATTGCAATTAAGATTAATTTATTTGCAATTTAGAAAAGACAATGATCACATTTTAAAGTTTAAGTTTTGATGTTACAAAAGTACAGTTTAACATTACATAACTACAGTCATTTATAAGAAGAATATAGGTTAGTTTACTTGTTAAATAAAGGAACGTATTAAAGCGAAGATGCCTAATTTAGCAAGAATACAATCCGTAGAACTCGAAAATGAGCTAGATTAAATGGTATGCCTTCTTATAATTAAAGGGGAAAATGTGCAGGTGCTTCTGTACTTAAATTCTTTGTATTTCGTTAGCAATTTTTTGATGCTCAACAATCCAGGCATTAAATACACTATCGTTAAAACTTTTAAATTCCAGTAAAATCTGCAATTGCATAACAAATCTGTGTTTTCTGATGTAAAGGATCTAGTTTAATTGCATCTTCATCGTGAAATTAAGATTTTATATTTTATAAAATATTTAGACAGGAACATGTACACACAACTACTCCACAAAAAAGAGCATTTGCAAGTAAGCAATTAGCATGGTTGCAGCTTCTGTTAACCAATGTCATGACCACCAATATTTTTTTTATCAATTGTTACCACACTTTATTTTTGCAGCTTCAACTGTTATGTGATTGATAGAGAAAAAAAAACACTAACATCACAATGCTTATTTACAAATTAAGCATATTTTTTAGACCTTTTCAAAGGGCATGACATTTTTATGAACAGACTTTTTCTGATATCTTTAATACAATAATTTTCAATTCTTATTAAATTCAAGTTATGGTAGTAACAACAAAGATTTTTATAAGTTTTTTTAACAAAAAAATAAACTTTTTGTTAAAAAAAAAATTCCTGGTTAAATATTAAATAGTGTTGAATTATAACATGCATTAAAGAGTTTTTAACTGTAGTTTAACAGTATTTGAGAAGTCAAAACTTAATATTCATGTTTAAATACAGTGACAGAATTCAGACTGCACACTGATATTTTATTTTTATTTATTAAAAAGCTTGTATGTAGATTCAAACTCTTTTATGTGTTAATTCTCAACATTTTTAATTTTTCAACATGCCAGATAATGAAGTGTTCATAAAAGATAAAAATAAAAAACTGGCTACACTTAATTGATAAATTCCCAATTTGCAGTTTTTCAATAGTATTGTGTGTATTAAATGTTAGAAATTTTTTTTAAAAAAAAAAAGCAAAATCAACTTAAAATGCAATATCAGAAAACCTATAAAAATTTAAAACCCAGTGAGACTCCAAGAAAAAGTAATTTTACAATTTTCTTTACTAAAACATTTGTTGAATACAAACTAAAATATTGTAATAAGTAATCAAAGATTGAACTTTTTCTAGAATTGCAAAATAAAAATTTAAGTCAATACTTGAAAATAAATTTTAAAAAATGCTACATTATCAATGATTAACAATTAATAAGATGTAAAATTAAAAAAAAAATACTTCATAATTTTTAACAAATTCATGAAGAACATTTGAAGCATTGCACTTGTGTATGAGAAATCTCACAGTGTTCTCGAAAAAGCAACTGGTCAATCATAATTTAATATGTTGTATAAAAATATGATCACTAACAAGTCTAAAATGAAAAAATAACTTGACATTAAAATGTAAGAAAAGATAAGTTAAATTACTTTTTAAAACAGAGATTTTTACCAAAAGGAAAAAAATGTTTTAAAATACTTAATTAGTATTAAATTTCCTTTCCTGATCGGTTAAAAAAATTATTCCCGAAGTAGTTTGAGGGTGATTAACAGATTGAGTTGATACTTAAATATAGAATAAAAGTAATTAAAATTAAGTTTTATGATAAAATTTATAATTTGGAGTAATTTAAAAGAAAAGAAGTTAGAGTAAAAAACATTAATTTTCTAAAAAGTATGCTATGTATTTGCACTTTAGTTTTAATTTCAAAAAGTAATCAATGATTTCACAATTTAAACAGATCTTTTTTAATAAAGTATTATTCAAAATAAAACATCCATATTTTAAACCACATAAATTTTTTTTAATCAATAACAAAATACAATGTTGTTCTCAAACTAACGAAACTGTATGCACATATATATTAACAAAATATAAAATCTAGTGATTGTTAAGATTAACATGACTTATACATGACTTAACATGATTTATATCATAAACATTTTATAAGAGTAATTTGATAAATTATTTATAAAAGGTACAGAAGTTAACAATGATGGAGAGTTTCAAAATACCATAATGGTAAACATGTTAAAACAATTTCTGCAACTATTTGACATAAATAAATAATATTGTAAAATAATTTAACACATTAGTAGAATTAGTTAATATTTTCAGACATGCAACTTCAATAATATAGTTTATAAATTAATAATTTAAATAAAATATATTAAATATATTGAAATTCTTACCATCTCCAGCAGTTTCTTTACCAATAAAATGAACATTTTTCAAAAGAATTATACAGGGTGCATAACTCATGCCTACATGAAAAAAAATACATATATGACTTGAAACAGTATGTAATTTAGCATCAGACATAATAAAAACTATATTGTTTTTTTTTTAAATTTATAAAATGATAAATAAATATAAAGAGAATAAATATCAGAAACAAAAAATTTATATATTACCTTTTTCAATTTTATTTTTTAATCTAGCTTCAACAACTGCAGAAATTTCACCCACTAGTTCATGACAGTTCACCTAAAATACATAGAAATGGTTTATTACATAGAATTGCTTTGAATTTGATATAATACAAAATTTATTGTAATAAGAGAGACTCTTAAAATGAGCATTTATTTTATCATGAAAGAAATTATGTGTGTTTCTAATGCTGCAAACAAACGAAAGTTATTTTCTTTCCTCTCACATTTCTAATGAAATCTCATAAAATCAAGAGTCCCTAAGTCATGTTTTCAGGAAGGGCTACTAGCATGACTAATGCTGTATTTTTGTCCAAAATGCTACAAAAGCAACTTAATACATTCAACAGTACAGTGCTTAGATATTATTATTACAGTATATACAATAATAGATACATTTGTAGCAATAAGCGGAAAAAATTTCAAAAATAGAACAACAAAACTTCAATCCAAGAAAATGGGTACCGCATACTTTATGCTAATATAGTTCTGTTTTAAAGTTAAACAATAACTGCTAGTTGAGGAACACAGAGACAACAAATTTAGAATTTCACACGTAAAAAACAATTTATGCACATTTGTACACCATAATACAAATTTGCATACCACAGAAGATATAGTAAGTACTTTCAAAAGATTACCTGATATAAATTAAGATTTAAACATCGACTAACAGTCTTGATCACAGTAGTTTTCCCACAACATGGAGGACCAGAAAAAAGAATATTCGAGCTAAGATTTGACTTTTTATGTCTATTAATGAAAACATAAAATTAAAAACTTAAATAGAAAACAGTGCAATAAAGTAGAAATTAAATATAATAAATGGAATAATTATAAAGTTACTAAAATACAGCAATAGAAAATATATTTAAAAAAAAGAATATTCTTCTTACTTCATCAACACTATTCATTACCAACAACACTAATTAATCATAAATTCAAGAAGACAGCGTGACTTTATTATATGCTCCACTATAATGTTAAACAAGTAAATAATTAAAATCTATATCTTTGTGAACTATTTTTTATCAGCTACATTAATAAAATAGCTCTACCTGTGCTTAATGTGTTAATTATTTCAAAACTTCATCATGTTATAAACATTAATTTTTCCTAATTTTGGTAAATCAGATTAGAGCAGTAATTAAATATTAAGTTTGAAAAAGAAGAGAAGACATTGAATTAGTTATATATATATATGTACTATACATAAATTAGGAATCTCAAAAGTTCAGTTTGTTCCCAAGTAACTCTTGTCTTTTTCTCAGTTTCTGTCAAACCTTAATTCTACTGAGCAAAATTATTCAGGTATTGCTAAATATATATACGTAACATCTATGGAAATTACACATGGACTGTTCTTCTTAATGATTCTTTAGACTTGGGATTTAAGATAACATTTCATTTAGTATTTGAGATAACAGTCTTGATTATGATCGTAGTCGCACCAAAAGGAATTGTTAGGAATCCTAGTAAATTTTTTGAATAGACCTGCAACATTTTTCTTAACCCCTTCCTTCTTGCTCACGTGAAAATAACGGGGTGATGTTTCGCCCTCTATTTCTCACTCTCGTGAAATTTATGGGCTGGAGTATTCGGTAGTAAAGCGCCAATAAGAATAAAACTAGTTCATTTCTTTTGCCTGGAAAACATTTTATTTCTCATTTTACACATCAGATGGCAGTACCAGGATATTTTTAAGGTAATTGAAGATAGTTAGTTTATTTTAAACTAGATGTCAGCACTAATCAAATATGTGTATTTGGCAAAATAGGCACTTTTATGACCATTATCTTGAAAATTAACTGATCGTTAAGGGGTTAATCAAGTTCATTATAGGTTGAGTATTTTTTTGTTTTTTTTATTTAATAACTTTCATTACTTAGACTGCGCTTACAAGAAAATGTGCATCTTTTAATATAGTTTTAAAAATTAAAAAAAATTAATCAATCAACTGAACATTTTGTGACAATCTTTCCCCTGATTTTTTGCTGATGTAAATCTAGAGTTTTTTCCCCTTCTCACACAATGAGAAAATTGTTTATTAAGGAGAAATTTCTATATTAACTTGCTTAAAGACAAAACACTCGGTTAAGTGAAAAATCATTTTGCATCATTATGATTCTACAAAGTGAAAAATTATTTAATAAAATCATTGGCTTCTTCATTTTGGTAATTTATGTCTTAAAATTTAATAAACTCAAATAATACTTTTAATTAAAATGCACTATTTATATTATTTTCTACTTACTGTAATTTTAAAAAGGGTAATATGAGATCCTGCAAAATGGATACATAATGAGATAAACCTTCTGACACAGAATTCCAAATTGGATGGCAAGGAGAAGAGCTATAATAAACTTCCATAGTAGCGGGTACATAGCTTTGTCTTGTACCTACCTATAAATAAAGGAAGAATATAAAATACACTTTGAATGTTTAACAGATTATGTAGCCAAATCTTTCAACTAAAAATAAACACCTTTTAAGTACTTTTCAAGCACTCAAAAATATTTTTAAGCACTATATACCTTAACAAAATGCAAAATAATTTTCAAAGACTATACATGATCATAATAAAATGACCAGTTTCTGACAAAGAACTCTTTTCTTGATAATATTGGCCACCATGAAAAGATTGAGAGGTTTTTCGGTTCGATATCAAAGGGTGGAAAATGATGTCTGAAATTGAGAATATCTTGCAAAATGCAGCAGAGTTGCACATGACAGTGCAAGAATCTCACCGAACCCAGCTCAGTAGATGCACATGTGTACTCCCGAGTATTTCATCAAACATGTAAAACAATTTATGCTTTCATACGCTATGGACCAATAGTAGGCTGAAATAGATTGTGGTTGAATGAATTGTGAAAAGGTTGAATAGAACAATGCGAAAAGCTCGCTTTTGCATAATTTGTGGCGAAAATTGACATAGTAAAGAAAAATATCTTAGGAAAATTAAGCACTTTTTAAAAATGCCCTACGAAAAAAGCACCTTTAAGGGCTTTTAAAAGACGAAAATCGAAAAAAAGCACCTTTAAGCACTTTTTAAAAAGGCTACGCTCCATGTTTAATAAAAATTTATCAGTGCAATAAAAGAATAAAAATTTAATAGATAATGTAAAAGGTGAGTTGATTAAATACTAAAATAACATATAGCTGATGTTTAAACTAAATAAATTTTTTATAATTTTTTTAAGTTTAAAAAATTTTTTTTGAAAATTTCAAACACAAATAAAAAATATCTAAAGGCTGAATAAATACTTTACCATGTATAAACGTGCACTTTTGTTGTCCATAACATAACCAGGTAAGTCCTCATCCTCATTTGAACCCTCAATTGATGCAATATGAAAATAGAGTGTAGGATTTCTGAGAAAACAAATTATTAAAGAATATTAGTAACATATAAAATTAATACAATCGCAAAACAAGTTTATGATAGATAGTAAACAAAACAAAAACAAAAAAATCAACTGCTAAGCTAAAAATAATTATAGTCAGATACATGAAAATTATTCACAAGATATGTTTAATTTTTAGCACAAATATAAGCTTGTTTTAATAATAGCATAAAAAATATTTTATTTTCATTTCAAGTTATGGTTAAATAAGTTTGGATTCTCTCTTTTTAATATTAAAAATAACTTTTTAAATAACAGTAAAAAGTTTTTTTTGAGATTTAAAAATTGAAAATACAAAGAAAAATACTGTATCATAAAAATATCTACATACTATAGAAAAGGGAAAAAATAGAAAGAAAGAAAAGGCTTTAATAGACTTCATTAAATATAAAGTTTAATGGGCATTAAAGTTTAATGCCAGATAAAGTTCTATATTAGGCCAATATCAAAGCAAGTAAAATGTATTTTGGTCAAATCAAGCATTGCTAAAAACTTAGTCTTACATAAAATAGATTGGAGAAGGATATGAAAACAAATTGAAGGTGACAAATAGGGAGGAATCCACATACAAAAATGTCAATTCCATTAAGGAATTCCAAATTTAATAACTCATTTAGCATACATGAAGAAATATTGCAAACATTATGACATTAATTAAATAATTAATAACTAAAACAGAAATCAGTGTTAATATATAGCTAATCATTAGACTCATTAACTATACATTTAAAGCATGTTTTTTTNTTTTTTTTTTTTTTTTTTTTCGTACAAAACAAATTTGTGCAGCTTTAAGGAAATACTTTAAAATTTTATTAAAATGTAGATAGTAATAGGATTTAACATTTACAATCTTTAGAAATGCTAAAGCCTCCATCACAAAACTGAAAAAAGTCGAGAGTCTGGTGAATATTAGATTATTGTAAGTTCAAATTATGATTTGGTTAATATTTCATACATTTTCGTAATTTTTAAATATTTGTCTAGAAATAGTGGTATATAAACTTATATGAATTTATGTGCAACAGTAATAGAATGACAAGCAGTAATAGATTTTTGTAATTTTTGAATATTTGTTTAGAAATTGTGGCATATAAACTTATATGAAATCATGTGCAGCAGTAATAGAATGACAACTGACATTGAATTTACACAGATAATTTACATACTTTAACTTGTCACTTTCATCATCCAAAGCAGTTTGGGAGATTTCCAATTGTCCTAGAAGATTGAAATTATAATATAATAATGTGCAACAATTTAGAAGGAAAAATATGCTATTTAATGAAGAAGTTGTTCAAAAAGTATTATTAACCTTTACTAACCTTTAGAATCAATGCAAATGACATCACCTTTGCAAATATATCTGGAAGATAAATATAGTGCATATTTATTCATATTCTAAACAATTTCTTGTTGAATAAATGAAAAATAATTTTTACCTTTGGAAGTTAAAATATTTTGAGACCATTCTATCACATTTGACTTTTAAGTCATAATTGGGAGATTGTATTAAATTTGCATAGGCATCAACAGGATTTGGAGGAGAAAAAGAAGCATCTAAAGGCTATAAAGAAAATAGCATGATCAATATTTCAAATAAACAGATAATAGTGTAATTACTTGAATCTGTAGCCGTAAATATGGCTGCGCAAGAACAGATGGCTGTTTATTCATATAAACCAAAGGAGAAGATATATCAGGGATCGGTCTAGGTTTTCTTAAGAGGTACATATTTTGTGAAAATTTACACATAATTTGTGAAAATTAAAAATTATATTAAAAAATCAATACAAAAATAGGGTAAAATATTTTCAAAAATTGTCTCGACAAATAAAAATCATTTATGACTGGTAAATTTCCATATATATTTGTCCCATATGTTCAAAAACAATTTTGCTATTGTAAAATTTTGGGCTTAAAATTGTATCCAAATTTAAAAATCCATAAAAATCATTGTCCACAGTCAAATTTCAATTTGAATTTAATAAAAACATACATTTAACAGTACTAGCACTAAAAGTTATCTTCATTATGAGAACATTTTCGACTGGGTCATACAAGAAAGAGTTATAAAGAGGAAAAAATGCTTCATAAAAAAAATAAAGGTTGACTTCATGTAAGCAAGAATCTCANGTACTAGCACTAAAAGTTATCTTCATTATGAGAACATTTTCGACTGGGTCATACAAGAAAGAGTTATAAAGAGGAAAAAATGCTTCATAAAAAAAATAAAGGTTGACTTCATGTAAACTTTACAGAGGGACAGCCTCGTCATTTCATTTTAAGAAACTGTGTGAAAAAAAGCTCGCTATAATATGGCGTAAGCGACCGGTTAGGCTTACCAAACTGCATTATCTAACCAAACACATGCTACATATTCGTTTCGTAGAGCTCTTTTTCCTCGGAAAAGCAATCATAATAGCAATCCACAGGAGGGTTACACTGCAAATCGAAATGCTTAATTAACTCATGCAACTTAATGAAAAATCATCGTTTTTACGGGAATACAACAACAAATTTCAAGAGGTAGGGGGGAAGAGAATCTTAGAGCTTGCTTTTTTAAAAGTATCTTGTGAAACTACCGTTTTCCCTTAAGTTGAATTTGTGAAGGTACTGCTAAATGGTAGTAAATTTGTCCTAGACAGACCCCTGGATATGTAAAGAAGTTTATCTGTAAGAAAATAGTGTTTTGAAGCATTATATACAATTAATGAAACTATGAAAATTTTAGCAACATTAGTCATTTTAGAATAAGATTTCTTTATTTCCAAAAAAATATGAGATAATTAATGATATACCAGGAAATTAAATAGAATATGCTAATACCAAAAAATAAAATGTGGTTCTTAAATCTTAAATGTGGTTGCATAAGAACAAATAGTTGTTTATTCAGAAATCAAAGGAGAGAAGATAGATAAACAAGTTTATCAGTAGGAAAATAGTGTTTTGAAACATTATATATAATTAATGAAACTATTAAAATTTTAGCAACATTAATCATTTTAGGATAAGATTTATTGGTTTAAAAAAATATGAGATAATTGATGATATACCAGAAAATTACATACACTAGGTTAATAATAAAAATGTGTTAATGGAACAAAATATATATATATATATATATATATATATGTGTGTGTGTGTAATTACTTCAATCTGCAGTTTTAAATGTGGTTGCATGAGAACAGATGGTTGCTTATTCAAATTGAACCAAAGGAGAGGAGATATGTAAACAAGTTTATCTGTTGGAAAATAGTGTTTTGAAGCATTTTCATTTGTGAATTCACAAATTTGAGCAAGTCTGCAGACATATTTTGGTTCAACCTGTCTTTTGCCAGGAGTGCTGAATGAATGCACAGGAAATATGTGCTCATCCATTGGACTCTTTGCTTTATTCGCTTTTGTAGGTTTAAGCAAATTAATTTTTACCCAACAACCACTTTTTAAATGTAACTTAGATGCAATAGAATGGGTAAGGAAAACTGTATTGAAAGGATCTATTGCCTTGTTGGCTTTTTCAAGCTCTTTAATAAAATGGCTGTTTATTTTAGACATAACACGCATTTCAAATACCCACAAAAACTTTAAGGTATTACTCATAGGTGTCTTTGCAGTGGAAACAGGAGCAGTTGGGAGTCGAATGCCGAAAAAATTACTACTTGTGTAATTGATCAAATTCAATGCATACTTTTCCGTCAGCATTGTATTTGACCAATCATCTATCGTATTTTCACATTGAGAACTACAGTGCATAGAATCTTTTATGTCTGCAACAACTACTAGTGTTTTTGTAGATATTACACCTTGACGCAGTGGTTGACAGTCCAAAGTAATAATATCTTGCACTGTGAATTCCTTAGTAAGTAGAACATCATCTTGGCGACATAAAAGTTTATTGTCAGGGCAGTTCAAAAGTACATTTCTTAGATTTTTTGGATTTTGAAACCATGCAAAACTGTCAGTAGTTTTTGCAGCAAATACAACTTTTTCTATATCGAAGCAAGACACAAATTTAAAATAACATGTTTCCTGGTAATTATAGCCATAATGTTTCAAAAATGTCTCAGAAACATAAACAAAAAGGTTTTCTGATTCCCTCAACTGTGGAGACACTTCTAAAATTTCTATTTGTGAAAAGATGCATTCTAATGCACAATGAACAGATAAAAATTCTCGCATCAAAGCGCCAACGAAGATTTTAGAAGCATCTTTCTTTTTCAAAAGTGAATATGCGTTTTTAATTATCTTTGGAAGACCAAGACAAAGAGGATGGGAGAGAACTATTCCCTCTGGCAATTCCTTAAGAGTAACTTCGAATATTTTCTGCAACATTTTCAAAGTAAATTTCTGAAAGAGAAAAAACTTTTTAATAAAATAGTAGCTATAAATGATAGAAAGAAAAAAAAACATTTTTCTAATTTGTGACCCATATATAATAAAAATATATCAGGGTTGGCAAGGTTTAGGACAGAATGGATTAATCCACGGTTTAAACCCTGGTTTAAACCGTCCTGTCCAGAACTGTCTTTAACTGTCCAAAACCCTTTTATTCAAATTATGTCACAATTTTATCTGAATATATTTTAAGAGGTAAAATCAACATAGAACTAATAACATATTGATAATTAAATATACCAGAGAATATTTGTTTTTAAAAGTACAGTACAGAACCCGTTATCCGGAAATCAGAAAACCGGAAAACCAAAAAACCGGAGCGAAATTCGATAAATTTTCCCGCTATTATTTTAAAAAAAATTTTTTTTCCTCATAAGATTTTAGGATTTTTCTTTCTTTTTTGAAAGATGTTTACCCTAGCATCATTTTGGAAATAATCATTAGTGTATTACTTCGTTTTTTCAAGATTATTTCCAAATATTTTTTTTTATAGTTGGGTTTAACAATAAAAAAAACGACTTTTTGTAGCGATTCAGAAAACCGGAAAAATCAGTTATCCGGAATAGCGATGGTCCCGATCGTTCCGGATAATCGGTTTCCTACTGTACTAATATAACGCTTGATGTAATAAATATTCTATATATTATATATCGGGTAATGTCGTCAAATTTATATTATCTATCGTGTCATTTAACCGATTGATACAGAAACGTAATCAACAGTCTCGTCAAAACAATAAAACCTGTATAAGATTTTACACAGAATGTTGCAGGGCGTCTCATGATTTGGCCAGGAACATTGTACAGTATAGTGGTGAGGTTATTTTAAAGGATTTTTATTATATTGAACCTATACGATGTTTCTTACAGAACAAAAATGGAACTTAG